ATTTCATAAGTGATATTGGCTTATACTTTTTCTTTCTTATACTTACTTTGGTATGGGTCTCAAAGTGCCTCATAAATGAACTGGGAAGATTTCCTTTTTTTCCTCTCCCTTTTTTGTTTTTTCCAAAAGAGACAAGGTCTTGCTATGTTACCCAGGCCAGTCTCGAACACCTGGGCTCAAACAATCCCCCTGCCTTGGCTTTCCAAAGTGCTGGGATTAGAGGCATGAGCCACCACACCTGGTACTTTTTTCTCTTTTAAAAGCTTTATAAAATGGAGTTAAGCTCTTCCTTTGGCTGCAGTCACCTAGAAGATCAGAGCCCGGTGATAATTTTTGGTTTGTTTCTTCTTTGGTGCAAATATTTTAAACTGCAAATTAAATTTCCTTCTATTTATAGGTCTATTCAGATTTTAAGGCCAGATGTGATGGCTTATGCCTGTAATCCCAACACTTTGGGAGGCTGAGGCAGGAGGGATCACTTGAGTCCAGGAATTTGAGGCTGCAGTGAGCCATGATTGTTGAGACAGAGTGATATCCTGTCTCTAAAAAAGAAAACAAAGATTCCATATTTTGTCTTTCTAGGCAGTTTTGGTAAGCTATATTTTCCCAGAAATGTATTCATTTATTCTAAGTCTTTAAAGGTATTGCCTTAGGTTGTTCAATGCATTCTGATCTTTTAATCTGCTACTGCATCTATAATTATTGTACTTCTTATTGCTAATACTGTTTATTTGTATCTTCTCTCTTTTGTCTTGATCAATCTTGCTGGAAATGTCTATTTAATAGTCCTTCCATAGAACCTAGGAATTCAGCCTCAAGATATATTCCAACAATATCACACGATTATCATTTTGACATTATTCATGATGGCAAAGCATTACAAATAATCTAATGTAAGAAATTAAATAAATCATGGTACTTCCACTTAATAGAATACTATATAGCTATAAAAAATAATAATGAGGAAGAGCTCTATAAATTGATATACAGTGATTTTCAAGATATATCAAATGGAAGAGCTGGCACAGTGGCTCACACCTATAATCCCAACACTTTGGGAGGCCAAGGCGAGTGGATCACTTAAGGCGAGGAGTTCAAGACCAGCCTGGCCAACATGGCAAAATCCCATTTCTACTAGAAATATAAAAATTAGCTGGGCGTAGAGGTGCATGCCTGTAATCCCAACTATTCAGGAGGCTGAGGCAGGAGAATCGCTTGAACCTGGGAAGGCAGAGGCTGCACTGAGCCAAGATCATGTCACTGCACTCTAGCCTGGGTGACAGAGACAGTGAGACTCTGTCTCAAAAAAGAAAAGAAAAGAAACATAAATGAAGTAAAAAAAAAACATTGTGCAAAAGGGTATACAGATGTTCCTCAACTTATGATGTGGTTATGGCTGCTAAACCATCATAAATTGAACATATCATAAGTTGAAAATGGGCATTTTGTTGACATGATGGGATACGGAACACAGAATGCAATATTCAAAAAAACACTGGCAACACTGTACATTGCAGTAGGGGTTGTTTACCCTGTGATCACATGGCTGACTGGGAGCTGCGGTTCCTGCCACTGCCCAGCGTGGTCAAAGTATCATGTCACATATCTCCAGCGCAGGAAAGGATCAAAATTCAAAATTGCAAGCACAGTTTCCACTGAATGTATATTGCTGTCACATATCATAAAGTCAAATAACTGTAAGTTGAACTATCGTTAAGTCAGACACATCTGTATACAGTATACTACTCTTTATATAAGAAAAAAAGGGGAAAGCAGATATTTTTATCTGTTTATTCTTATGGAAAAAAAATAAGAAGTTGTTTACCTACAGAGGATGGGTGAGAAGGAGGTAGAAGGGATAGGGAGTGGAACTTTTATGAGTATATCTTTTTAAACAGCTTTAACTTTTAAACTATTCCTATCTTTTAAATATCAAAAAACAAATTAATAAAAATGGGGAAACAACTAAAATGGAATGCCAATAGAAATCAGTTAAACCTAACTGTATATCAAATAGATAACACAAACACATAAGAAAAAAAATAATTCAAGTAACTTTTGAACATGGTTCTCTGACTGTGTACTCTCAATAGGATGCTTTCTAAGGACAAAAAGAACTTCAAAGAAACCTTAGGCTTTAGTTAATATGTATTTTTTTTTTTTTTTTTTGAGACGGAGTTTGGCT